AACAGCAGCAAGAATACTCATCGCAAAGTATTGGAAGACACAAGAACTTCCCACGCTGGAGGAATGGCAGATGAAACTTATGGACTATATGGAATTGGCGGAAATGACTGGCAGAATCCGTGACCAGGGAGAAGAGTCGATGGAGGAAGACTGGAAGAAATTCAAAGACTATCTTCAGAAACACTGCAAAATTAAGGAATGTTAGAGTGATGTTGGATTGAAAATAAGTGGTTTCCAGCTGTACAGGTTAAAGTTAAGGATAGATTAAGATTAAAGATCAAGATTAAAGATGTTTAAAGAAATGGAAATTTGATAATAAAAGGGAAAAATTTAAAGGTATATGACATTAAGAACAAGGATTATGTTTAAAAAGTTGAAGTTATATATTTTAATATTTTATTAAATTAAAGATTGGGTTTAAAAAAGTGGAAAAGAAACTGCTGGACAAATAATGCAGATTGGAATACAAAAGAGGGAGGTATGAGTCCAGAAAATAAGTAATTTAAAATTGGGAATGGAAAAGAGAGTTTGTTTTTAATTGTTATGTTTTGTGTTTTTATTGTTAAATTTTGTATTGTTTTTTTTTGTGTGTGTTGTTTTTCTTTTTTCTTTGTTTAAAACCTTAATAAAAATTTATTTATAAAAAAAAAAAAATGAAATTCATACCCCCTCCAAATTTTGTGATGCACTTCTCTAAGCAAACAATCTCCACAGAAATGTGGACAGTATGTTCAGGAAAAGAGGGCATAAAAACCCACAGGTTAGTAAAAGCAGCCTACAAGCATTATATTTGGGAAATTTGCTTGTACTAAAATGCCAATGAATTTTTGTGAGTTTCTTTTATAAAAATGCACATTAACGTGGAAGCGTGGAGAACTTAAATTTAAGATTGGGGTGGGGGTGGGAAATGAGAAACTGGGAGATGCCAAAACTGACAAGTTTGTCCATCTATACTAAGGACTACACTTTATTTAAATAACAAATGTAACAGAGATATGCAGTGGATCCTATAGTGCAGGACACTCTAAGAATGACAGAGACACCCTACAACTATTCCTCCCTCCCAGTTGAGTTATACAAAGACTATATTGGGAATAAGGAGGAGGAGGATAAAGCTGACAGCCGGTGCCATTTCTTGGACACGTTGGAAGTAAGAAGGAGGCAGATGTGGGTTTACTGAGGGCTGACTGAGGTTGTTGGGACAGTGCCCCATTTTCCCAAATGGTCCTGCCTCCACTGAACATCGGCATCAAAACAATGCTTCAATCCACTCCCTTTATGGTCCACCTCATGTACCCAGGGATGGATTTAGGTTTGATGAGGTCCTAAGCTACTGAATGTAATGGGGCCCTTCATTTGTCCAGCTGTCCTTTGTCAACAACAAATTGTTGCTGTTTTTTGTGTTGAATATATGCTATATGGTAATTTATGGACCTAATAGGTCTCTAAAGCCATTTGCACGTAACAAAATATGTATTTTATCAAAGTAATTGTTGAACTTATCATATTTTGGAAATGTACATCCAGTTTTTTTCCTTTAAATTTTTTTGGGGGGGCGCCCAAGAGAGTGGGGCCCTAAGCTGGAGCTTGTTTAGTTTATACAGTGGTACCTCAGGTTAAGAACTTAATTCATTCCAGAGGTCCTGCTGCTGCCGCGATGCTGGAGCACGATTTCTGTTCTCATCCTGAAGCAAAGTTCTTAACCCGAGGTACTATTTCTGGGTTAGCGGAGTCTGTAACCTGAAGCGTATGTAACCTGAGGTACCACTGTACATAAATCCGGCACTGCCTGCAACAAGACCACATACACAATAAGTAACTACCAAACTGGGCAGGCAACTAACTAACTAACTAACTAACTAACTGACTGACTAACCAACCTCCTAAAGACAAACAGAGCATATAAAAAAGAACAAATTCTGATTAACTGGCTTTGGAACTTGTAGCATCCTTACAAAGCTGAGTCAGCAAGGAATTTGAACAACAGATCTCCAACTGCCACAGTATCAACTAACTCGATCACACGCACCTTTAGCTCAAAACTAATTTGACAAATTCCACAGAATTCATGGCCTGCAATTAATACATCAAGACAAAAATCTGAACACAGTCCTGAGCACTACGCATTGGCCCAAGAATAAAGGACCACAGCAAACCATTGTCAATGACTCCCTGCTTTGTTCGTTTAAAACTGTATGTATATGTTATGGAAATAACTTTGACTCACATGTTGGACATTGCCCTGGAATCTTCTAATGAAGGTCAGCTAATTGCCCAGAGAGAGAGAGCTAAGGCAATAAATAAATCATAAATCTTTTAAATAAATAAAATGCGGTCTTTTCCTCAGGGTCCAATCTCATCAACACAGTGAGCTCTAATCCTTGAGCTTATGCCGCAATAAATTGTTTTGTTTTTAAGGTGCGACAGGATTCTTGGTTTTTTTTCTCTTTTTTGCTGCAACAAACTCTCACAGATGCCCCACTGGTTTTCAGTCACTTATTCAGTTACCGCAGCCGTCAAAACGCCAATGACTATGAATCAGCCCTAATTCTACTCCTGTTAAAAAATAATTGGGACATATCCCATTAATTTAAACCAAGCAATGATTGCAGGCCCAGGGAATAATTTGGGAGGCCATTCATGAGTCATGGGAGTTAGCCAGGGGCATTCATGAATGAATGATTATTGAAGCAGAATGTGACTTTGTACATATATTGATTTTCCTCTAGTCCTTTATTCATTATTTACTATGGTTTGAACTTGGACTAAATAGAGGCCACTGAACCATATTTCAGAGGGGCTTGTTCATGAGTTTCTCTGTTTAAGGATGCAACCGTTAATTAATGTTATTCGTGTCATCAGAAGAAAGGGGGCAACTTGGCCTTGTGCATCAACATTACCAGGCTGCATGGCATATAAATAAAAAAATTTCTACAAGCCACCTTGTAGAATGCAAATAGAGAAGAAATGCCTTGTGCTGCCCCACTGACCATAAACACTCAGGGGGTAGGAAGCCTGGGGGTGGCATTTCCTTCTGGATAGTATTCCAGGCAAGGCTAGCCCAAAACATTTGGGTACATGCAGTGCCGGATTTACGTATAAGCTAAACAAGCTATAATTTAGGGCCCCACTCTCTTGGGGCCCCCCAAAAAATTTAAATGGAAAAAAATACAATTACTTTGATAAAATACATATTTTGTTACGTGCAAATGGCTTTAGAGACCTATTAGGTCCATAAATTACCATATAGCATATATTCAACACAAAAAACAGCGACAATTTGTTGTTGACAAAGGACAGCTGGACATAAAAAGGGCCTCATATAAAGTAGCTTAGGGCCTCATCAAACCTAAATCCATCCCTGGGTACATGAGGTGGACCATAAAATGGTGCCCCTCCCCTCCCTGTCAGGGAAGAAGGAGTGAGGGAAGATCTACATCAGAAACAGGGGAACGGTAGAGAGCAACATCTGTTGCCCATGTGGATCTTGCTGTCTGAGGCAGTCACCTCAGCTTGCCTCATGAGTGGGCCGGCCCACATGCCAATGAAAGGCAGAACAACAAATGTGAATTTTAACTTCGTACACTCACACAACTTATTTTTTTAAGTCCTCATGATAAATCATCAACATTTTAGTGTGACTTTTTCCTAATGTACACACTTTTTTTCAGTGCAGCTTTGCCTAACACACACATTTTTGCAAAGCAATTCCCCCTAACATAATGCACTTTTGTAAGCCATTTTCACCTATGTATGCATATGTGCTCTTTACCCCAATATATGCCTTTTCGTACACATCATTTGGCTGGAGAACTGCATTGCAAAATTCAGACATGCGGATTTTGAAATATGGCTGTGTTTGCATCCATGTATTATTTTGAAGTGTATGGATTCATTAGGTCTGCCTTGAAATGTGAACTGAATGGAATGTTTCTCCATCCCTACCTGATGGTTAGGCTGCCTTCCCTTAAGTGAAAAAGTAGAACCCGTACCTGCAGTCTGATCACCATACAATTTTTCTAAATGTGAAGCTCAGCTCTTACAGACAGCAGTGGTTGTAGCAGTACAGCAGACATATGGAACTGCCCACATGAAAGTCATTGTTTTATTTTAGGCCTGGTAGCAGGGCAGCTGTATTTTGCAGCTCCATGTTTTGTGATGTTTAATTTCTGAACAGTCTGTTTTGTGCAATTTATCTATTGACACAAGTGTGATTTATCAATTAATAAGACTTTTTAAAAAAAAATCAGACATTTTGCAAGCTTTTCCTTTTGTTTATTTTTTCCTCTCTGGCTTGTAATTAGAGCAATCAACATGCTTAGACAAAAAAAGAAGCAAAGCGATATCAGCATTCCCATTCTTTCCAGAGCGAGCCTCTCCTGTTTGAATCAGTTTATCACAGATTATACTGTACATAATTACCAAGTTGGGAGGGAGTTTTTGTTTTTTCGAGTCTCAAGGGATTCTGCAATTACCTTTTCAAATTAAAATTGATTAAGCCTGAGTGTCGGAGGAAATGAGAATTAAAGGTTTATAACGTGCAGCCTGCTACTGAAGGTTGGAGTGTATATTTTAATAAGTCCTGCCGGACTTCGGATGAAAGGCTGCCATGAATTCATTGACAGAGTAGGCATTTGGGGCAGATGCAGAGGGTGTTTAATTGGCAAGTATAATCTAGGAGGCACTAAATTCAGTTGTTGAGGCAATTTTGTAATATTGTTCTTTGTGTGCGCTGCGTGATCTGAAATCTCCGGGGCTGTTCACACTGTGAGATTCCTCTGTGTGATTGTGCATTTAAAGCACACAACTCCATGGAGAAAGGCCGGTGTGATTTGGGCTTTACACACAATTAACTGGCCATCACGGAGGGGAAAACCTGTGACTGGCTGCCCAGACAGGTCACAGATCCAGCTACAGAAGAAGCAGCACTGAGGCAGTCAGCTAATACTTGGAGGAGGCTAAGTTGATTTCATCACACAGCTTGTTAGGGTGGAACTCTATCCTGAGGGATGGCTCAGTTGATAGAGCATGAGACTCCGAATCTCAGGGTTGTGGGTTTGAGACCTACGCTGGGTGAAAGATTCCTGCATTGCAACAGGTTGGACTAGATTATCCTTGTGGTTCCTTCCAACGTTACGATTCTGTGATTCTGCCAATGAATACAAAACCTGGTTGCGTAGCAAGTGAAAAAGGAAAGTGGTGCCTGGGAGCTCTGCACACTAGATCTAATAGTGCTGCTCTTTCTTCAAAGGCCCTTCCCACTGGGACTTGGATAAGAGATTGGCATGGACAGAGTTCATTAACTCTTGAATGCTTCTGGGGGAAAGCGCAGCTCATTTCCAGAGATGGTTGTCTGCCTGCAACATTGACAGCCCTACTGACGTTTATCCATGAAGCTGTCTATTTCTGATCCACAAAACTTTTGCATGTTTGGGGTTGGGTTTTCTGCCGTAATCCTATTCTATTCCATTTCTGCATTTTCAGTCTTCTAAGCATACAATATTTAAATGCCTCTCAGTGTTTCAGGGAAGGGATAAATCCAGTAGGTAGTTATGATCCAGTCTATGCATTAGTTCTGGAAGGTACAGATCAGGTCATTTCAAAGAAGAACTCAGAAATATCAAATCCCTCAAGCATCCCTAGTCACATTGTCAAGCTACAGAATGAGCTGGCATTCTGGTGTGTATGCATATGTTTTAAGCAGTGCCTCACATCTACAGACATCAAGCACTATTTGTACCTCTGAAAAACATCTCTCCTGTTAAAAGCACTCAAGCCTCCTTATTCCATTTCTTACTCCGTTGCCTGCTCTCTGCGAACTTCAAAAAAGACTCCTCCGCCATTTCCCCACTCTCCAGTTGTCAGTATCTGAAGTCAGTAGCTTGATCTAATATGCTCGTATCTCGTACAAGGGGACTGAAGAAGCCTGTTGAGGAACCTTGAGGCAAGGAGATTTGCTACAATATTTATTGTTATCGATTACTGAATCAGTGAGCCTGAATTGCTGCTGCATACAGTGACATTTGCTGTTTTGAAAACTGCCTTGCTGTCTTGTATCAGGCCACACAAAAACAACTGGCCTTTTAAAAGCAAGACATGATACGTGTGGTCTGAGAAAGGAAGATGGCAGAAGTTAAAGCCCCTGCCCACCAGATGGCACCTATTCCTTCGTCATATGCAGCGTGTTATAAAAAGGCACATCAATATACATCAAGTGCAGAAGAATGATGAACTTGTTATTTTTATTTTCACCAGCAAGCTGCAGCCTTCTAGATGGTATTCGACTCCAGCTCACATCAGCCCCAGTCAACATGACCAACAGTCAGGGGCGCTGGAAGTTGGAGGCAAGCAACATCTGATTGGCCACAGGTTCCCCACCCATTTTACTGTTGGGATGCGTCCAGGGAGACAGGGACAATTGGCAGGCCCCCAGACCACCGGCTGGCAGCCGGGCGAATTCCAGTTCTCAGAACAGCATCAAAACTGCAACTCAAGCCTCAGAAGCCTTTAGAGACTGAGCACGCAAGCCAGCAGAGATAAGAACTCTTTGTAACAGAAGGGCGGACAGTGGCATATGTAAGCGTATTTACAAGCATTTATTCAGCATCAGAACAAAGGAAAAACATATCTGCTTCCCTTTGTGTCCAAGCAAACAGCAACAAGCAAAAGCTATGTACAACGGAAGTTCCCAGCAGGATGTGCTGGAAGTAAACAGACATGTGACATACAACTCCACATGCCTGTTCTAAAGGTGGAACGGAACTACATCCTAACGTTTACATGGTGGCAGTTATCTATGTTCGTTGCTGCCAATGATTCGGGACGGGGTGTATTTCCAAGTTCATAGTCAGTGTTTGTTTTTTAAAATGTTCTGCCTTGTCTGCAAATGCATTAAGCTCAAAGTAGTTCATAGGAAATAGACAGTCATCAGCAATAAGCCATAAGAACATCAGAAAAGCCTTGCTGGGTCAGGCCAAAGGTCTATCAGGGCCACCATTGTGTTCTCACCATGGACAGCATCACCGTGAGCACTACCATGGGCACACATGCTAGGTTCTGAATGAGAACGGGGAGCCGGCAGCACTCAGCACATGATGCTGCATGCACAACGCCCAACGTTGTACATGTGACATAAGGACGCCAGAGGAGCCGGGGCGGAGCCAAGCACGGGGTGGCTGCAATGGCTGCAGTTCCACCTCCTCCTCCTCCTGCTGCTGCTGTAGTTCATGGTGGTTCCCTGCTGCAGATGTTCACCCTTCAACTTGTGGAGAGCTATAATCAAGGGGAAGAAGATGAGCCAGAGGAAGTGCCCACTCCTCTCCACTCTCCCAGGACCAGCCCACTCATGAGGCAAAGTGAGGTGGTTGCCTCAGGCAGCAGGATCCACAGGGGCAGCGGACCTAACATAGATCTTGATTCCCCCATTGTTTCTGATGTAGCTCTTCACCCACCCCTTCTTACCTGACGGGGAGGAGGGTGCCATTTTGTGGTTTGCCTCAGGTGCCAAAATGTGCCAGGTGGGCCCTGGCTCTCCCTCACCTGATTTTAATTGTGTGAGGAGAAAGAATGTCTTGAGGAAGGCTTAGGCCTCACTGATTTCAGTGAATTAACCTCTGCTCTGGATGCCGAGAACACAATTTGACCATGTGCAAATATCTACTCGTGTAGAATATTGTTTTCCACACCAAGCTTTTTTCCAAAGTCCCTGGGTGTGCAGAGATTTTCAGTTCTTTTTTGGGGGGGGAGGGAATCAGTGAGTAATACTCTCAAAATATAACTCAGCGCAAAGGAAGTGCCATGACTCCTGAAGCAAGAACAGAGCCTAGTTAATACTTTGCCCGTTGTCAGCTGACAGCTGTCATTTGTGCACTAATTTAAATCTCAAACCTTTAGACGGCGCCTCACTTTGAGAGATTAGTGGAAGAGAGAACATTTCCTATTGGATAATTAGGGAGGTTGTAGTGCCTTAATTGAGAGTCTATATAAATAATCCATCTGTGCTGCGAAATCATAATGCACGAAAACTGATCCCTTCCTTCAGATGTGCAGTTCTGACTGCCTCTCGCCAACATACGCACCCCCACAAACCTTTGAGGGAAGGCAGGACAACATTGTGCACAAATGCAAAACACTAGTAGGTTAAGAGTATGGAGCCGTATGACTATCACTCCTATGTGTTCTACATGCATGGCAACTAATTAAATTAATGAAGATCATTGAATCCCAGGGCTAAAGCAAGCCCCTGCATAGTTCCTTTGGAAGCTAAAAGGCAAGGGAAGAAGTAGGTTAGGTTAGCTGATGCCTGGATTTAAAAAATAATTATTATTATTATTATTTGCAAAATGTGCAAGCTGTAGTGGGGGGAGGGCAGGGATATCTTCTAATTAAACTCCCATACGCAATAATTGTTTTTTTCCTGCAAGCTCAACCCATTCTCTTCTATGCCCACTTTTTGTTTTCTTACATTGGTACACGCAGTGCCATTCCGGCCATGCAAACATTTCTGCTTGCACACATCTATCCATTGTTCAGCCAGGCAAGCAAAGGGTGTCACTGCAGTTCAGGGAAACATCCCACCCTTTATCACTGCATGTCTGGAGAGATGCAGTTCAGTGTGAGGCAGTCAGTGTTGGCCAATGTGGCTGCCAGAATACAGTCATACCTCGGGTTACAGACAGTTTAGGTTGCGTTTTTTCGGGTTACGGACTGCCGAAACCCGGAAGTACCAGAACAGGTTACTTCTGGGTTTTGGCGGTCATGCATGTGCAGAAGCACTAAATCGCACTTTGTGCATGCACAGAAGTGACAAATTGCAACCCGCACGTGCACAGACACACAGACATGGGTTGCGAACGCTGCGGGTTGCCAACGTGCATCCCGCACGGATCATGTTTGCAACCCGAGCATCCACTGTATCTGAAAGTCTGTGAGCCTTTCGCTCTGGCTGGATTTCTGAAGGGAGCAGATATCCTTTTATAGTCCTGCTTCTTATTTTATGTGTAGACCAGTAGTGTTGTGCAACTTGTAATGTAAATAATAAAGACTTTAGAGAAGAACTGGATGGGTGAGGTGGTTTTTCCTGTCATGGGAATTCACCAAGAGAGGGCGGTTGCTGCTACAAAAATGCAGGAAGACTTTCTGACTAACTCTGTTGAGACAGAGAAAAGGGAACCCCAAGAGTTGGTGCTCACGCACTAACAGAGGAGAGTCTTGAGGGACAGATTCACTGCATATATGTAAAGCACTAGGATGCAACTTTGAACAGTCCTGCTTTCCCCTAAAGAATTATGGGAGCTGTAATTTGTTAAGGGAGTTGTTAAGAGACCCATGTTCTGCTCCCAGAGCTACCGTCCTCAGAGTTTCCTGTGAAGAAGGACTGGCTGTAAAACCACTTTGGAAATTGAAGCACTGGGAGTCTCCTGACAACCGTCAGTGCCCTTAACAAACTGCCACACCCAGAATTCTTTGGGGGAAGCCATGGCTGTTCAAGGTGGCATCAAGGTGGTGTTTGAGAAGGATTTTAACTTGGGTCTCATCGGTCCAGTTCTTCATTCCCAGCGCCACAAAGCCACAGTTGTCGGGGGGAACCTAACTCACCACTTCCCAAATCCACTTACAATGTTTTTTCATACTTTGCTGTCTTGCAGAGATCCATAGCATTTCTTGTTTTGCTCTGAGACCCTTTATAAGCCTTTGTTGCATTATTTCTCTGCACACATCTACCTTCAAAAAAGCCAGTGTGGCGTAGTGGTTAAGAGCGATAGATTCGTAATCTGGGGAACCGGGTTCGCTTCCCCGCTCCTCCACATGCAGCTGCTGGGTGACCTTGGGCTAGTCACACTTCTCTGAAGTTTCTCAGACCCACTCACCTCACAGAGTGTTTGTTGTGGGGGAGGAAGGGAAAGGAGAATGTTAGCCGCTTTGAGACTCCTTCGGGTAGTGATAAAGCGGGATATCAAATCCAAACTCTTCTTCTTCTTATCTGTGCAACAGAATGAAGTTACTACAGAAAGACATGCAAAGAGTAGAGGTGCTTTCACGAATAACGCTACAGTGTCACGTGACTGTTCTTCACATG